CCCTAAACCCTAAACCCCAAACCCTAAACCCTAAACCCTAAACCCTAAACCCTAAACCCTAAACCCTCACGAGGAGCTGAAAGGGGTCATGTAGGCCTGGAGCTCTTCTTATTATTTCTTTTAATAAAGAAACAGCAGCAACGAAGTTCGCCGATAAATATAAATCTGTTGCTTGCTGCAGCAGGCCCCGTAGCTGTATACAAACCACAAACCCTAAACCCTAAACCCTAAACCCTAAACCCTAGAAGGGAGAAAAAGAAAAAGGAATTTATGCTTTATCTAATAAACACAAAAAAACATAAACCCTCAACACAAAACACAATACCTTCCTCTCCCTTAAGGGTTTACAATTCATTACTTAATATTTAGGGTTTAGGGTTTAGGGTTTAGGGTTTAGGGTTTAGGGTTTGCGAGCCTCTGGTGTTAGGTTAGAAGGGGTATCCGCCGTTCTTCTCTTTCTTCGTCGCTTCTGCTGCTGGCCACCAAACGCTGTAAACAAAACCCTAAACCCTAAACCCTAAACCCTAAACCCTAAACCCTAAACCCTAAACCCTAAACCCTAAACCCCAAGCCCTAAACCCTAAACCCTAAACCCTAAACCCTAAACCCTAAACCCTAAACCCTAAACCCTAAACCCTATGAATTGTTTAATAGGCTTCACAAACTCCAGAGAGATAAAGTAACGGCACAGTCTAGCATCAGCAACAGCAGCAGCAGCAGCAACAGCAGCAGCAGCAGCAGCAACAGCAGCAACAGCAACAGCAGCAGCAGCAGCAGCAACAGCAGCAGCAGCAGCAGCAGCAGCAGAACAGTCAACCGCAGCAACCACCGCAGCAGCAGCAGCAGCAGCAGCATCAACAGCAAAAGCAAAAAAAATAATAATAATAAATATAATAATAAAAATAAAAAACATAACAACAAAACAAAAAAAGAAAAAGAAAAAGAATAAAAATAAAAATAAAAAAAATAAATTACCTTGTCTCCTTTTTCTTTTTTTTTTATTTTGTTTAATTTGCGTTTCTTCTCTTCCTTCTGAACCCCAAAATAAAAACTCATCGACTTCATCTGAGCTCATACTAAACACCAGCAGCAGCAGCAGCAGCAGCAGCAGCAGCAGCAGCAGCAGCAGCAGCAGCAGCAGAGAGGCAGCAGCAGCAGCAGTAGTAGTAGTAGTAGGAGGAGGTGGAGTTGTAGCCGCAGCAGCAGCAAACGAAAAGCTGCTGATGGTGCTCTAGGGTTTAGGGTTTAGGGTTTAGGGTTTAGGGTTTAGGGTTTAGGGTTTAGGGTTTAGGGTTT